GGTGTTAAAGGGCAGCCCTTCAAAATATCAGAGAATTAATTCAGTGTAAAGAGTAAATCCTCTCAAACACTCTAGGGCTTGGACATAAATCATACATCACATCAGTTTTATACTCACAATCTTGGTTTTGAAGATGTCCAGCAACCCTGATAAGTGGGTGTACTGGCTCGGCACCTTGCGCAGATGAACCATCTCGAAGTCCGTGCGAACGCCCGGGCCCTGGCACTCCCCAACGTACATCCGGCGCCACTTCTGATGGATTTGCACAAACAGTGGCACCTGACTGTAAAACAGGAATGCTTCAGATTATTTCAAGATAATTTCATAATCTTTAGAATATATTTTCTCTTAGAGGAATACACTTTAAAACACTTAATAGGAATCAAAGAAAAATACTGTTGATGACAACACTAAATAGACACCTAACAAATTGTCATGTCATAATCACAGCCCTATCCGTGAATTCACTTACCTCATTTTCAATCTATATAATTTTTGAGCAAAATTAAGAAGTTACTGTTATCATAGACAGTGATGAAATCCTCTTGCAAAAGTGATGCATATACCAGTTACTCCAACAACTTCTAGCAGCATTTAAAATCCTTAAGGTTTTTAAATAATGATGAAAATAAACAAAACATTGATTCAATCTTTATAGATGAGGATTTTTAAAAATTCTTCTCTAACAATATTACAATGCAAATACATTTTTGTATTCTGCTAACAATTTAATACTTTTTTCTCACAAATGCAGTGTGCTGGAGTTTTACCTGGACATATAAAAAGGTTTATGCCAACACCTACCAGCCAGTGTTGCCCAAGGCAATGGAAACKGAACTCAGCAGAAGGTTACACTTGGATTCACTAACAACAGCATCATTATTTGCAGCCGGAGCAATAACCACAAACTCACGTAAGCCGTACCTTAGGAGAGAAAGGGGGAAAAAAAGCACATCTGTAGTTTCTGGCAAGCCAGATGAAACAACACGTTTAAAAATATTGTGACCTGGATAACCTAGTTGTCACCAACAGACTGTGGAATCTGTTATTTTGATGCAAGTACCTCTTTTTTCAGAGAGGTCAAGAACTGAGTGGGCATGGAATGCTGCAAGTCCTGAAATCACAAACTACCGGAGCTTAACAGCACTTATACACTGTARTGTGTTTGATTGGGAGAACTCTCAGGTCTATCAGCCCTGACGTTTTCTAGTTTATGTTAATAACRATGAAACCTTATACATAAAACCAATCTCTCTAAGATCAATGCTATTATGTGCTCAAGATTTGCATAACTAAGAATACAGTTGTTGTTTCTTAAGGTGGTACAGCTTTCCTTGTTAAGTATGCACCTAAATATTACATACATAAAAGCTTGCTTAATATTTGAAATTGAGCCAAATCATTGGGGCAAAAAAAACCTCAAAGTATTAAGACAGGCCCACTATGACAGGTTTTTTCTGCACTCCTTCCTTGCATCCARTACAAAGAATCATTTTACTTAAGATTTAAATTTGAATTGAAAARGAAATACACAACTGATTGTGCCAGATTTTTCAACTGCTATACTCTTTTACAGYAGAGATGAGAGGCAGCACACATACCATCTCACTAGACAGTGGGCTCGAGGAGGAAAGTCATTGTTCATGCACAGCAAGTCCTGCATTGGCAGAGGAAGGGCATCTGTGACAAAAATTGATATATAATCAATGTATCATCACATCCATCCAGCTCACCTACAACTGGCTTGTACTAGCCCTGTGTGAATGCAAAGCAAACCAAAAGCAGAAATGTCAGATCCCACTCATCAGACCTCACAAAATCCCCACAGAAGCAAATCAACACACTGTGGACTCCACATTCTGACACTGTCTTTTGTCATTATCCTTACTCTATGTAAGGGAACTATCAGGTACCTTCTCCCAGCTCTTCTTTCCCATCTTTGTCACTGGGTTCTTGTACAAGATAATGATGGGTAACTGAGAATTTGAAGTCTGCAAATGAAATTTCATCTGATTTCTCTTCCCATGTTCCTGTGGTGAATATACCCTGCATATAAAAAAAAGAAGATATTACTACATAAATTTAGGTTAACATTTGCTAGCCTGTAAAAGTATATTGCCTACATGATCAATAAAGTTTATTCATATTTTTCTACTGCCTAATGGCTAGTCATGATTTAATTTTCAAAAAGCAATTCTCAAAGCTCTTCATTATAAAGAAACCTGGATGCTAAAATCCCTGTTGTCAATAATCACGTTCATTCCAAAGATCAAATCTCTCCCTGAGAACCCTTCAGAACTACATAGTCCTAAAGATTTGCATCCTCTCATAATGCAGCCACACTTCTGAAGCACATGCACCCTCAACTTTGCCCAGAGACAGAGGTTTACCACCTGGGATTTCATATACATCTAAACCATTCTGTACAAATATTACCTTGATATTTACTTTCACTAACAAATCATTATTTTTATCTATAGCTTACAAAAATTCCATATGGATAATTAATTTTTAACAAAAAAAATTAATTTTTTTGTGAACGTCTAAGAAAATCAGCATCACTGCTCCTACTAAAACAAAGCAACTTGGACAACCATTTCATCTTAAAGGGGGTAAAGAAGAGAGCTCTGGTCTAGAAAAGAAGACGTGTAGGAATACACAGACAGGCAAGGTGCAATTCATTAGATAACACAGGTTTTTATTAAAAATACTCTGTACCTGACTAGAATGAAAAGCAATACAATTCCTCTGGAAACACAGCAGCCGTTCCATACAAACCAGCTGAATTTATYTGCATTACTAAGCAGAAGAGCTCAGCAATTTCCTCTGCATTTCACAGGACTGAGAAAGCATCACAAAGGCTCTAATTAGACTCTGAAAAAAATCTCTCCCATCTATGAAACATATTGAGTCACAAGTAGCACTGTGCAAACCTCAGCCATAAGTACATGAGGTGTGACAAAGGCACAAGGCAGGACAAGAAGATTCCTTAAGTATTTAGAGCAGCTTCAAGCATGTTTTCAAACTGAAAATTCCAAAATCACTGATCATCTGGGCAAAATCACCTACATGAAGATCCAACCTTGTCAAGGAAACAGGCTCTTTGGCAGATGGCTGATCAATAAATTTACAGCAACTGTTTGTCAAATTGATACTTTTACAAGTGAAACTTCCCAATAAAGCCATTATCTGCCACACCTAAGAAAACAGCAACAGATGAAATACATGTGTGTATTACTGCATGACTAGTTAGCAATTCAAATTCTACAGGAAAATTCAGAAGCAGTAAACCAACCTTTTCTAGAGGTTTGCCTGAAGTAATCCCAATAAGTTTCCAGTCATTYAATACTTCTTCTATTTTTGAAATAAATCTATTAGAGAGAGGAAAAGGCATTAATATTTGCTGAACACTAAACCTGCATTATAATTTAGATACCTAAAAGSAGACAGTCCTACTACGGAATTCCTTAAAAAAGCCTAAAGAACAAACAAACAAACCCCACATATATAACAATAAAGCCAGAACAACTGCTTTCTTGTACAAATAAAWCAGTCCTCCTATGTTTAAATTTCACATGATAGCTACTTTTAGCAACTGCTATCTTTTGATTGATTTAAGAATCTCACCTTTTTCTTTTTCTGGTACGGCAGCACATAACATTTAATTGCTGTTTTACTGTTCACAGATAAATAAGCATTTGAGACAAAAKTATACACTAAACTCAGATGTAAAGYATAGCACTTGAAATCTCTTGTCCCCTATCATAAACACCATYACTGGAAAAAGCATTTAAAAAGTAATACATTCACAGTGCAAAAGCATTCTTTACCGCAAATTTCCTTGTACTGCCAAGTTTTAAAGGCTTTAGCCACGAGATGGCTGTTTTAACAATCAGACAGCTAAGAAAACACACAAGCCTTCTGAACGTCTACTCTAATCCCTTGTAARCAGGTATTAAAGGACCTTTCACTAAGTTCAGAAACAGCTCGACTAGAGCCTCTTAACGCGCTCCTTGGCCGCGGCCTGAGCGTAACGCGGAACAGCCAGGACAAAGCTCTGGAACAGGATTCGGGAAAGGCTCCGGGAGCTCCCGGTGGAGGCCCCGGCTGTGCCGCGGGGTCCCGGCTGTCCCTGGCAGGAGCGGCCGGGCCGGGCTCGGCGGAGCCCCGGTGTCACCCCGCGCTGAGTGAGGGGCGCGCCAGCACCCACCTCTCCCACTCGGAGGCGGTGGTGAARTCCGTGATCTCGAACACCTCCGACTCGGGCTGCGGGGAGAGAGGGGGAGAGGCCATGAGCGGAGAGAGCAGGGGGAGAGAGCGGGAGAGACAGGGAACGGGGAGAGAGCGGGAGCAGCGGAACAAACACTCACTTCGCTGTCCGCCGCCATCTTGCGCTGCTGCCGGCCCCCCCCCAGCGGCGGAGGCTGCCGGGAAAGCGGTGGGGGCGGTGCCGCCTCAGAGCCCGGACCTCCCTAAAGGCTCGTGCCGCACGGTCTCATTCACAGCCCGGACCTCCCTCACGGCTCGTCCCGCACGGNACAGCCCGGACCTCCCTCACGGCTCGTCCCGCACGGTCTCATTCACAGCCCGGACCTCCCTCACGGCTCGTCCCGCACCGTCTCATTCACAGCCCTGACCTCCCTCACGGCTCGTCCCGCACGGGCTCCTTCACAGCCCGGACCTCCCTCACGGCTCGTCCCGCACGGGGCTCCTCACAGCCCGGACCTCCCTCACGGCTCGTCCCCCACGGTCTCATTCACAGCCCGGACCTCCCTCACGTCTCGTCCCGCACGGGGCTCCTCGCAGCCCGGCTTCTCCTCACAGCCCAGCTTCTCCTCGCAGCCCGGCTTCTCCTCACGGCTCTTCCCGACGGGGCACCCGCACAGTCCGGTTTCCCCTCACGGCTCGTTTCTCCCGGGCTCCCTCACAGCTATATCCCGCCTCCCCGGGCTCCCCGCCCCGTATCTCTCCTTCCCGGCTGGCTGCAGCCCCTCACGGGGATGCCCGCGGGCGCGGTCGCCTCACAACGCCGCGAAGCTCAGGCGGGGCTGCTCGTACCGATTCTCCGCCTCCGACAGGGACAGCCGAGAAGGGCTCCAAGTAACGCAGCCCTGGTCAGCCAGCTGTGGTTGAGGTGTCCCTCAGGACTGGTGTTCCTGCTCCTGACTAACCAAAGCCTTCTCCCTCGCTTGTGTCACCCGGGGGACGGCGACAAATCATTCTGACATGCAGCAAAGCAGCTCCTCTTAAACACCCTTTTAACTCAACGTTAACTCAGCGTTCACCTCTTTTATCCGGTCTTGCCCCTAAGCACAGTCTGTTACTTAAAAAAGAAGGGGAAATATCCCTAAAATCTGCAGCTAGAAGAAGATTGCAAATACTCATGAAAGCCTTGAGGTGAGGGAAGTGAGTGCGAAGTTAAAGTGACGTGGAAACATATCAAGTATTAAAAGTATAAATGGAGGCAAACAGAAGATCGAAATAGGATTTGGTTTGTGTGCTGAGAGAACTTGTGATTAGAGCTTAAAGTGCTGCCKTTTAGCTCGACTGTGTTTGTTTTCATAGTTCACTGCTGCTCTTTGAATTAAACTCCGAGCCAAGTTCCCGCCGGGGGTGAGGGGGGTTACCTGGGCGACATCGTGTAAACTCAACAGCTCCGCGAAGCTGGAGCCTGCCTCAGGAATGACTCSTACAGTCCGCGAAACACGCGAAAATAAAATCAAAGTGTGTGTAATTGCTGTCGAATTCCTCGCTGGCCAGCAAAGGAAGGCAGCTACGAGCTGAAAATGCGCTGTATCTTCACTTYGGGTTGCTGTGCCTCTTTCATTCTTCACTTCTGAAGTACCAGGTAAGGTTTGTTGGTGCCTTTTTGCAGAACATTCTCAGTTATTATTTTGAAGGGGGTATTTGTGTATCCAAAAAAAATTGAGAGCTTGTAGGACCATGTGACTCTTAACAGACAATGTAATGGGATAAACATTTTAATGGATTATCTGGTGTTTAGCATAAGACATCAAGAGTGCTGGCTTCTACAGCTACTTTTTTTTTGCTGGCCTCTATAGCTTCTGCTATAGTGACTTTCACTGTCTTTAATTTATGTTCTTGTGGCTTGAAAAACTGCTTGAAAATTATTCTCACTGTTCATCTGAATAGTCAAAGAAAGTACTCTCTTTCTCTGATTTGTATTTCTTCAAATGTACATGGTACCTTCCAACAAATGTGATGGGAAGAGAAGGAAGAAGGGAGGAATAGTAAAACACATCCCTGACCCAACAAAACTCTGCGTCAGCTGCCACATGAAAACAGCCTTTGCTTTTACCCATTTCACTTCACTGAAACTCTAATGCAGACTGTGCTGTCTTCCAGTGTACCTAAAACTGTGAGCTAAAACAGTGGCCATTAAACATGGTTTATGGACCTATATGTTTAATGTATCTTAAAATCAGTAAATRATTTGTTAGAATTGTTTTCTCCAGGATGCAGTGACATTCTGTTAAAATAGACTAGTTTTCCTTTTGGAAAATTGCTTCCATAAGCTCTGTTTCCGTTGGGAGTATAATTAGTGGTGCCTGCACACATTGGAGGTTACATAAAAAGACTAAAGTCTGCTTAAGTGCTGCTCCCATTCAGTGAGCRTGCACTGCAAGAGAGAAACTCTGGCACATGAAGCCACTGACCAGCCTTAGAATTCCTGTAATAAACATGTGAAATGCCTTAAGACGTAGTTAATAACTGACAAGTGGATTTGTATGTATGTACAAAACTTAACTGATTTTAAATCGTGGAGAATGGCTTGTGCTTTAAAGCAGAAGATCCCATTTTCTGTACTACGAAATACTTAGAACTATGTATCTAATGTGAGAAAAATTATGTATTTTCTCAGGAGTCTGACATTACACTTCATAATAGGTTTAATATAGGAATATATAAAAGAATAATCCTTTTCTGATTTTTTTTTTCTTAGTCCACTTGGTTTTTAGTGATTAGATTTTACCTGTATCTGTGGTGTAGTGCATTATCAATGTTTTTTTATGGAAATTACAGTTTCATTTTCCACCACTGACCTGTCAGCCTGGAAGAACAATTCACCTTGCTCCTCTAGAGGATGATAYTGTCAATGAAAGCAGCAACATCAGAAATATTTTAAATATTATGAACTCTATTCCTCAGCCTATAAAACCAGTTACTAAATTTTATCAGTATCAGTTAGACAACCTATTAAAAAGGCACAGTGAAAAGTCATCAGAATTGATCATGGCTACAATTTCTGGTAAGTTCACTCCAGTGAAAGATTACTACTACTTCAGCATGAATAATTGTGATAAATGCCCCAACCACAAGAAARAAGAAATCCAAAGCCATTGAAGATGGAGGGAAGCTGATGTAGCTGTCCACACTGAGAAGAATGAGCAGGTGAAGTTCCAGTGTTCAATAGTTTGTAAGAACATTGATTTTATGACCCAAGCCAGGTTCTGTGATGAAAGCCATTCCTTTTTGAGCTCAAGCAATGCTCTGGTGAACTGTGGCATGTTTACAGCTCAGACAACATTAACACTGTCAAGCAACAGTGAGGCCTCAAGAGCTGGCAATAAGCAAAACAGAGCAGAGAATTGCTGGAGCACCGGTCTGGAAGAAGGAAATGCTACAGAGATGATACCAGATTACAGACCMCATGAAGATGCTGAGAGTGCCAACTTTGTGCTTTACAATCATGATTTAGATTTTTCCTCTAAAAATGAAGTGATAGAGGCCCACCAAGCCTTAGAAGATAATTCTGTAGAGGCAGTAATTCCCAGAGTAGATGTTCAAGATCCCTTTGGAAAACAGTCAGAAAATCATATCTGTCTCTCTGAATCTGAAACAGAAAAAGAAGCAATGTCAGAGGCAACTTCAAAAGACCAAAGTGAGCTTGTACCTGTTGTTCATGTTACACTATCTGAACAAGAGCCAGCCAGGGAACCACACACTGATGAATCTGACACAAAAAAGGGTGGTGTCTGTATGCCTCCTCATGGTACTCAGAGCTTCAGTGTTCTTGCTCACAAAGAAAATGATAAAAATAAAATAAAGATGAATAGAAATAAATATTCATCAAAGTCTAAAATTAATAACAAGATAAAGATACCTGAAGACTTAATTGCTTCTGATGAGGTTACCACAAAATATAATGCCAAGAGTCAGATTTTTCCATCTTTGGAACTGACAAAAGTGAAATCTGAAACTTCCATGAAGTATCAGAAAAAAAACACTCGAGGAGACAAAGGCCATGTTGCTCAGAGTGCTCAGAAACTTAAGAAGAAAAGTTGCTCCTGCAGTTACAAAAATTCAGCTGTCTTAAAGAAACATGTTACTCCATTTTCTCTGCCTCACGCACCATCTGCTTCAGATTTTGTAGATCTGAAATACAGTGACATGTTCAAAATAATAAATTCAAATGACCAAGGCCCAGGTATTTATGAAATGTTTGGAACTCCCGTCTATTCCAGCATGCGAGACCTTGATCAACATGAGAGCAGGTTTTATAACGGTGTTTATTCTTCTCCATCAAGGAGATGCACCTGCAGATCTACCTGCAGTAAAGGGGGAGAAAGCAGCAGAGTCAGAAGCACTCAAAAGAAAACACATTCCAAGCCAAAGCAGACTGTACCTGGCACTAAACAAAAGCAGAAAGTTTTAATCACAAAGAACAGAAGGACCAAGTTGAGTGACAGAAACAAAGAGCAAGATAATGTAACAGCTTCTGAGTTGGATTTTCAAACAAGCTTCTCAAGTAGCACAACATTGTTTCATGAAGATACCGACCATCAGCTTACATTTTTAGAGGAGCTTTCACAGTCAACTAAGCAAAATGAAATTTTTTCAAATTCAAACCTATCAACTATTAAAGAAGTTTCTTTGGAGCAGTTGTTAGACAGCCAGGATATATCCAACCATCAGAGAGCTTCTACCTGCAGCCAGGATCTCCTTCAGTTCAATGACAAAAACTGCAGAGAATGTATTGCTCCAAGTGGCAGTCTGGTAACAGCAGAGCAGAACATCTGTGTGCCCCTGTGCACGGGGGATGTGGGTGCTGGAAAAGGCTGGGAATCAGACCAGGCCTCCTTCAAATCTGACAATAAATGTGAATCACCTTTTTCTGAGAGACTGGAATGTCAATCCCCTACAAAAATATTAGATCAGAGTTGGGCAAGCACCCCTCAAAACAGTGGTTTGGCAAATGAATTGACTCAATCTTCAGTGATTTGGACAAAAAATACCAAAAGCCCCAGATCCCAGACAAGTCAAAATATTTTTTCCTGGTCAGATACTAAAGATGTGACTGATGAGTTGCTTTGCTGTCTAGCCAAAGAATTGCTAATGCTTGAAGAAAAAGACTCCTCAAGAACAAAAAATACMTGTTCTAAAATGCAAAACACACATACTGAAGAGGAGGAAAATACAATGAATGGAGATGGAGCAATAATAAATAGTGCTCTAGAGAAGGTAAAAGTAATTTCTTCTTGTATCTTGCTAAATCCTTTGAGTGATGCTTCAYACAAGCTTGGATGAAAAAAGGGAAATATGTGCTTATTAAAGAGACTTTTCAAGTCTCTTTTCCTTGGGTCAGTTGTTCACTGATTCTTTCAGTGCTCTGTTAGGGGCTTCATGTCAGGACATGAGCCAGAAGGTACTAAGGCATGACAGGAATAGCTGTCAAAACTTRTATRAATTGAGAAATTGTAGTGAAGAAAKAGAATAGGCCTTTTTAATTGAAGASCTTRTATAAAAAGGTTWCAGRCAAGGCAATATAAGAAATATGAAAAGACTTCACAAATAATCCCCCCAAAAGAGCAATTGCCTTGAATCTCTGAGTGCAACCAGATACTTTTATAGGTATGAACTACAAGTATTGACTTATCAGGCAGACTTAGCCTGTTTAATTGATCTTTAATCAAAACKTCAAGCTCAGAAGGCTCAGATTTTGGCCCCTAGGTCAGTTAAGTRACTTCACCTACTCAGGTGTTTATCAGTACACCTTCTCCTTGGCCCTGTTAGCTCTTTGTCCATTCAATTWAATTTAAATTACAAATTTATKAGGAAATTTCTTTCACTAGATATTGATAAACTCCCTTATGCTTTTGCAGACAGGTGCCAATTATACCACCATTTTCACTTTTCCCAGGGAGATCCATGGCTACATGGAATAATGATTGCTGTCTTTCTGAAGCAGTCTCTTCTTCCTGTGAAGACGTGTCCCTATTATTTTCATCAGAATTGTGTTACATGTGTTACTTAGAGCATGAYAGTAGCCATATTCACCCTTCAGCTTAGCAAACTGTACCTATGAGATGAAAAAAAAAGGGTATATCCTGCTCCTTTAAGTGCTTCTTCTGTCTTGGTGTCAGTGGAAAAAGATGTCATGCTGTAACCTTCTGGCTGTGCACAGTTGTGAGCTACACTTGAAAATATTTATACAGTCTTACCTAAAATAGCAGTTCTATCAATGACTTGGGCAATGTACATATGTAATAATCTATGGAGTRAAGTCATGCCTGGAAAAATTACTCCTTATAAAAAATGTGAGGACAAAATGAAGTCCTGTCTTTTCTTCTCCACTTTCTCCCCACACTGACCATCATCTTTCAAGCAGAGTTACAGTAAAGCCTTTTTGGCTTCAAATGAAGAAAGTGGCCTTCTAAACTTTGAGGAAGCTACTAAATTACCAGGAAGCAGTTTAACTAACAAAGATCCTATCATGTGGACAAGAGGAGAAGTCCTTGGAAAGGGAGCCTATGGCACGGTAAGTTAATGTCTGAATAYGTTAAGAGATGTGCTGGTCATCACTGAGCTACACCTTATCTCAAAAATGGCTGTTGTCCTATTCAACAAATGGCTTAATTATATTGGATTATACAGTGAGACATGAAACATGACAAACACAAAAGTACTATTCAAAATAAGTAAACAGTCAAGTTTTWTCTTGTGTCTTGTTTTAATAAGTGCTGGTTTCACTCTAGGTGTACTGTGGTCTGACAAGCCAGGGACAGTTAATAGCTGTAAAACAGGTTGTTTTGGATCCATCAGATCAACTCACTACAGAAAAGGAGTATCAAAAGTTTCATGAAGAAGTCGATCTTTTGAAGACATTGAAGCATATCAATATTGTAACTTAYTTAGGAACTTGCCTGGAAGACAACATTTTAAGCATTTTCATGGAGTTTGTTCCTGGTGGCTCCATTTCCAGTATTCTGAATCGCTTTGGTCCTTTGCCAGAAGTTGTCCTTTGTAAATACACCAAGCAAATTYTACAGGGCGTTGCATATTTACATGACAACTGTGTGGTCCACAGAGACATCAAAGGCAATAAYGTGATGCTCATGCCCAACGGGGTAATAAAGCTGATTGACTTTGGCTGTGCCAGGCGCCTGGCCTGGGCCAGCCTCAGCGGCACCCGCAGCGAGCTGCTCAGGTCTGTGCATGGCACTCCCTACTGGATGGCTCCAGAGGTTATCAACGAGTCTGGCTATGGCAGGAAATCAGACATCTGGAGCGTTGGCTGCACCGTGTTTGAGATGGCAACAGGCAAACCCCCTCTGGCTGCCATGGACAGGGTAGCAGCCATGTTCTACATCGGGGCCCACAGGGGGCTGATGCCTTCCCTGCCCGATCGCTTCTCCAGTGCTGCAGTGGAGTTTGTGCAYGCCTGCTTAACCAGGTAGGGAGGCTTAGAACTGGAGAATTAAAGGAAAAATGCAGGTAGTCTGTATTCTAGAGATGGTTGGTGGAAGCTTAGGTTACCTCTTATATGGTACATATGACTTTATTGTAAATGCATAGGCTTTTCAGCATTTCAGAAAAGCCTTTAGATAACAGTATATATAAAAGAGCTTTACTCTCTGTTATGATATAGAAAAACCCTCATGGATTCTCTTTTTGTAGGCCTTATACTCATCATTTACTTGCACTGTAATTTTCTTGCAGAAACATGGCACCATTGAGTTTAGGACAAAATGTTTGCWAAGTTTCGTTGATGTGCTTTGCTGTTCCAGTATTGTTTGAGTTTGGTCTATGTCAGGCAAGTTGTTTTAAGGACAGTATTCTRAATGGAACAGCTTTCACTTAATTCTTATCTTCTGCAGTAGAAAAATCTATTATTACTGCCAGTCCCAGAAACCCMTATTTATTTGAAATATAATACTTATTAGAAACATAAAATTCTCTCTATAAAACCCCAAACCACTAGCATTCACYCATTATAAGAATTATTTTTGAGGTGTTTGTTTTGTTTTAAACAAAGCCATAGGCTTCTTAAAACACATGATATTGATTAGAGGTGACAGGACACCCTGATTGACAGAGGCTSGAACAGATAATTTATCACCCTTCTTAAATACATTTTTAGTGCACCTGAAATAGCCAAATTAGCAGAATTATTCAAAGATTTGCAAGGAATTTTGGGGAATAAGTAATGATTTCTTTAATAATAAAATATTTCAGTTTTATAATTAGTAAATTCCATCAGTCTTTTCCCTTCATGCCTCCCTTCCTTTCCATCAGCTTTATAAAAAAAACCCCTAAAATGAGTAGTGAATRGAGACATAATTATAAAAAGCTAATTTTGCACTAGATTTTACAATTATGTCACAGGCATACATATTAATTTTATGTACTGATTTGTGAAACCAATGCAGAAATCAACATGAACGACCTTCTGCTCTGCAATTGCTGGACCATCCGTTTGTGAAAGGAAGACAGTGAATTTTTCAAAACTCTTGCCAAATGAATACACATTTTCCATGGAAAAGATTTTCACTTGTGCAAAAACGGCCAGAAGAAACGGGGCTTTAAARGGGCAGCAGAAATACTGGAGAGCAGCTGTGTATGAGAAGTTTGTTATCAGGCAGCAACATGATTAAAGAATCCTTTTCTGCAAGGCCTGTGCTCATTGGAGTGGGCACTCCTTCACTGTGAACACAAGGCCACGTTGTGTTGTATTTGGAGAGATTTAACAGGAAAAAAGGTCACCACCACTGGCAATGCAACARGCCAGGTAAGCTGGGATGTCTGTAAAATCCTATGGAACACATGCCATGGGCAGAGATCTCTGCAGGAAACTCCAGCCTGGAGTGAATAATGAGTGTGATAATCCCATAGGAACCTCAAAGCATCTATGGGAGTAAAATGTATTGAGGCTTTTATTCAGTCAGGTGGGCCTTTTTATTTAGCTGGGTGACCACTYTCATTTTTAGCTGGTGAATAACTGGCAACATGCTCTAGTCTTTAACCCACATCARGGTAAAAATGATTTTATATTTGAAGACTGTCTTATAGGTCAAGTTGTCCTGTTGTCCCCTGTCTTGTCGCTGCTAACACTGAGGAGTCTGCCTGTGTCTTCCTTGCTGTCCCCATGGATACTCATTGAGAACATAAAACGCTTCTCAGACCTCTTGAGTGAGCACTATGGATGTAACTGGATAACATGGAACAGTCCTCCCCTGCACTGCAAAAGGAATTGTTACAATTACTAGAACTAGCTACTAGTAACTGCACAAAATTAAACAAAATATAAAAAGCATTAAGTATTCATAAAACAAAAGAAAAAGAGCGGGTATTAGTATTTAGAATTTCCATTTTATTATAAGCTTCTTCCTATCAAAATGGGGTAAACCTTTAGCCTTTGTGAGCAGCCAGGCTGCAGGAAGACAGGCAGTAAAACCCAGTGCTACAACTGTTCAGAACTCAGCTCTCAGCAAGTCAAGATGCAGATTTCAGCACCAGCAGTAACATAAACATTTGTGTTTCACAAATGGGAAAGAAGGAAGTTCTAAGTTTTATATAAAACAAACTTTCCTCAGAGTGCAAAACATTTTAGTTACTTAAACAGCTTTCAAACTTTCTTTTATTCCAGTAGCCCGACCTCAGAGAGTTGTCTCGACTTTAGAAAAGCAAAGAGAAATCAGTACTTCTAGSAAAATTCTTTATTAATAATTTCTGTAGGTATAATGTCACATAACAATGACAGAACATTATGCCATTCCAGTATAAGAGAAATCCTAACATCACAGTAATCTTCAAAGTTCAAGCAGTTAACAGTCCCTTTTTGAGGAATACTGGTTGGTGCTCATGCCAGACATCCATGGCAACATCATGGTAAAGCATCTTCACCTTAAAGTACCTTGCAGAACAAAGGTAGGAGCCCTGGCATGTGAATTCAGGTGGGATGTACATAATTCCATCATATGTACTAATTCTTCTCAGATTAAGGTAGAGTCTCCAACAAAGCTGCAAAGCAAATATGAGGGTTTATTTAGCATGAAATGAAACTGAAATGAGAGTCATAAGCAGGGACAGAATGGGAATGCTCTAGAATATATCATTAATAAAAAAAGTCAGCATTATAAACCCCCTTCTTACGCATATCTTACAAGCAAAACTAACACTTAGACTTCTCCAATATTACCAATTATTTGCAATTTGTCATGTTTCATCCAGCTAATTACACTAAAAGTAGTGATTACAGGTTTGTAAAACTTGAACCTGAGCTTTTAATCAAAATGTGAAAGCATATTTTTCCTTTTGTTTAACCAGACTTCAAGAATGAGGTGGCAATTAAAGGCCAGGACTTGCAACAGTGGTATTTCAACTTAATCAGAGCTTTACCTGAAGCCCAGCCCAGGGCCCAGTACAGCTAAACCAAACCCTGTTAGTCTGGGGGGCCTTGGGTCACTTGGCTGAGCCAGTCTAGAAACAAGTCTAACTTTGCATGTTTCTTACTTGAGATCCGATTTTCCAGATGCCTGATTGCAGGTATCCAATATAACACGGGGAAAGGGTGTGAAATCCTGAAAAGCAATTTTTTCATGAGACTSTGTGTGACTCAGTGAGCAGGGTCACACTTGCTTTGTAACAGTGTTGGAGCAGGGCAACCCTTGCTGGTTTAAACTACAGTGCTCCTTCCTGAAACCAGTAAGAACCTATTACAGTGCATGCAGGCTACCAAGCACTYGCTGCAACTGCAGGTTTGCTCAAGATTTGGAGCTTAAATCTCACAACCTGAAAATACAACCCTGTCCTGATGATTGATGGGGTACCCAGGGTTTCTTTCACATGGTAACGTGAGCCATGGCTCACATCTCAGAAGGGAGGGCCACAGGCAGGCCAACCCAGCTATTTTACACTTGTCTTAGAACTACTACCAGCAACAGGACGTAAAAATTTGTCTTAAAATACWCGTATCTACCTCTTTCCAAGGAGGCAGACACCGGTTCCAGAAAGCCCATCATCTCTTGAGATTATTTGGGTTCAAATCAGTGCTTTTCCACCATGCTCAGCAGGAACCAATGCCATTTCTACASTGCTCATATCAAGCGAAGAACACGAGTTGTCCCAAGGAAGGACCTCCAGGACACACTCCAGTGCCTCTTCTCCTCTACTTTTTCCTTCCCACAGGGACCTGCACAATGGGATAGCTCAGATATTTTAGGTGCTGCTCACAAGAATACAATCTCTGAACTGTGGCAACACAACTGTTGCTGCTACACAAGTAGGAATATAGGGGMATCAAACCCAGGTACTGAAAGTTTTAAGGTTATAAATTGGATTTGGATTTCCTATATCCACTTTAGAAGCCAGAGAAAGAGTCACATCCAGTAGCAATGGGAGAAAATACTCCTGAAACTAATTATCTCTCTAAGGTGCAAGGAGTTAAGCCTTTCAGAGAAAGGAGGAATTAATAAGCTTGTTCAGTCTGGCACAACGTCCAAGGCTCAAGACATTTATTGATAGAACTGATTATGCTTATGTGCATTTACTTTACGTTAAAGAAAGTAAATAAAGTATTTGTCCTATCATCTTCCCTGCATTGGAAATTTTCCCCCTAAGGTTTTAGAAAGATGCTTGGTGTAGCAGTGTCACCCACCCCCTCAATGCTAAAAAGAAAAATAAAAAACCCTCCACCATCACACCTGGCCAGRCACTATACTGTTACTGCACTGCGCAGGCTCTGCCCCCAAGATAGAGAGAAGGAGCAGCTTAAGATGGCATAAAATGTCTAGAATTTGCTTTTCAGGTACCAAATACCTGATCAATATAATAGAAATAACGGAAACAAGTAAGACTTCAGACTTTCCAGCATTCCATTATTTGAGTGGTTGGATGAAAGCTAGCWATGTTTTGTAAAAACTGAAAGGGGRTCTTAGTGTTTACTAAGAGAGTTGGAAAAATTAAACAGGAAAATGGGATCATTTCTGCACAATAGAGGTGAGGTAGGGAATTTTATTGAAAATATTTTTTTTACAAGTTCTTAGAAATAAACTTTTTTCTAATCTCACACAAACAGCTGTACCTCAAAAATTCAACTAAGCTATTATGAAACATATATATTTACAGTTAGCCAAAAGAATATACAGAACTGCCGTGTTATGCAAATAGCCAAGTACCAGCTCACAGTGAGATACATCACCCCAGCATTCCCACCATCAGAACAGATCAAGATTCAACATACAAAAGAATCTCACTATTCTACAAACCTTATCTCACAAAAAGGAAAGATTTTTAATAGTGTTGTAGCAAGGTCTCCACTACAGCATCATTTTACAAATTACATAATTAATGTACTCAAATTTATAACAAAAAATCTGTAATAAGTGATGAACAAAATA